ATGAGGTCTCCCCTCAGCCTCCTTTTCTCCAGGCTAAACAACCCCAGCTCCCTCAGCCGCTCCTCATAAGACTTGTTCTCCAGACCCCTCACCAGCCTCGTTGCCCTTCTCTGGACACGCTCCAGCACCTTGACGTCCTTCTTGTAGTGAGGGGCCCAAAACTGAACACAGTATTTGAGGTGCAGCCTCACCAGTGCCGAGTACAGGGGCACGATCGCTTCCCTACTCCTGCTGGCCACACTATTGCTGATCCAGGCCAGGATGCCATTGGCCTTCTTGGCCGCCTGGGCACACTGCCGGCTCATGTTCAGCTGGCTGTCGACCAACACCCCCAGGTCCTTTTCTGCCAGGCAGCTTTCCAGCCACTCTTCCCCAAGCCTGTAGCGCTGCATGGGGTTGCTGTGGCCGAAGTGCCACAACATTTCTTAATGTGAAAGCAGGTAGTTACATGTAATAAGAACATGTTTTATGTGACCAGAACAAATTCAAGAGGAGGATGAACTTCAACCAGTTCATTTCTGAAACTGGTATAGTCTCCCAACTCAGTGAAGTGCTTCTGAGTATTTTACTCCTATACCCTTTAGAAATGATTTACTCCTATGCCCTTCTGTGTGCTTTGTAACTACTATTTAAAAATTCAAACTAACTTCTGAAACATGAGAGTTGACTTGACATGATAGTGATCTGTATTAGTGATCGATGCCCTGTCATTGATGTTCAGCATGTATGTTTCTTCTCTTTCACAGCATCACTGTAGACAGTGTGGGAATATCTTTTGTGCCGAGTGCTCAGCAAAGAATGCCTTAACTCCTTCTTCTAAGAAGCCTGTCCGAGTCTGTGACACTTGCTTTAATGACTTGCAAGGATAACTGGCCATCGTGAGTGACAAAGAAATGTTACACTAAAATTTATAATTTCTGTTGATGCACTTCGTTCAGCACTCAGACTACTATTTAGTTTGGACAATGATTGTAACACTTGGCAAAATTTAGTATATTTTAAAATGTTTATTGATACCAAGTAAAACTATTGTATTTTTTGTGAGACATGGGCTCAGATCATCCATAGCTTATTGCCATTTATCCTGGAAAGAGCTTCTATGTCTAGATTAGAAATACCCAGTTATTTGTAAATAAAGTTTAAACAGAGGAGTAACAATGTATTTTTTTATCTTTTATTTTTTTGTTCAAGAGAAACAGCGTTTATGTGATATTGCAGTTTATTCCTATTTCCTTCAAAGAAAAAGGAAGATGCAAAAACTTGTGAGGATTTTATGTATCAAATGTTGCTGTAGAAGCATAACTAATTGTTGCATTTGATTGCATATCTGATGTTCTTTATAACCCCTTGTGATTCTGTTTTCTTTTTCTCTCTCTGGTTCTTGGACCTTTCTCTCTAAAGTTTGAACTCCACAGTGAGGGTAACTGACTCGACTCCAAGTCAGTTTTATTTGCCCACTTAGAACTTGTTGTAGTATCAGCACCTGAGTCCTTATCCAACTACAGCACTTGGATACTGGAACATCTTTACACACACAGTGTTGCATAGTTTTTGTGTGTGTGTGTGTCTGAGAGAGAGTACGTGTGAACAAATGATGAGACAAAGTTTAGCTGCACTGTAGAAATACTACATGATACATTACAATATTCCATCCCATATTGATTGATTTCACCTTTACGTATTCGGTTGATGGATTTTGATGTTCCAGAAACCCTTATATATGTGGGTTTTAAAAAGCAAACAAACAATACTGGTAGTAGCCTGTAGTGCATCTCTCCCCCTGCCCATACCCTGGAAGCCCTGAGAGGTCCTTGTGGTTCTAAGGGACATCCAGACCTTCCACACTAGGTATCCTACTAAGAAAAAGTCTTTTTTGAGACTGCTGCAGTGTATCTGACCTTTTCTTCTGTCCCTTCCCTCAGCTTTTGGTGGAAGAAGCTGAACTCCTGCTACACCTAACAAACCTCAATTTTCCATTGCTCCATCTGACCCCCATTATCAGGGGGTCTTAAATGTTATGTTAGTTATATGATTTAGTCTGCTCAGAATGGTGGTGTGAATCTCCTGCTACTGGCTTAGTTATAAACCAAACAGCTCTAAATAAGAGGCCAATATATGTCTTCAGATATTTATTTGTATTTTCTTTTCTGTACTTGCAGCAGAGGTTTGTTGTAGAGTTCACGTAGGCTCCAAACTTCTTTTTTTGTTGTGATTTTATTTACACCTGTTCGTTCTTGCCTGCCTGTCTCTAACTTTTCTTCCCTTTGCATCTGGTATTTCAAAACCGTTCAGGTTATTTCTTCTGAGCGGGGATTATGCCTTCCGATATTTAGGGACCCTTTGTCTTAAATACCCTAATAAATTTCCCACACCCCAAGCCCTTCTGTGTCTCACAAAATTTTGCCAGCTGTTCACAGAAAAGGACTGTGTCCTGAATTCCTCTACTTCTTGCCTGAGGTAAGGAATCAAATTCTGTCACAATGATGGAAGCTTAGCCATCGTTAGGCAGGTTCCTTTGCTTTTATCTATTGACAGCTCTATATGTGAATGAAGAAGAGTCTCTTCTGAAAAATATCTAGTCCCGATTAACTCTCAAGTGAAAAAACTTCTTAATCCCTCTTCTCCAGAAGTAGTGATTTATATGTTTCATATCCCTTCTTAGCTTACCTGTCTAGTTCTATATTTGCAGCCTCAAGGAGTCTTCCTCAAGGAGATTTCTTAAAATTAAATTCTTATTTCCCAAAAGCCAGCTGAATTATGTAACCGGTTCTCCTCACTGTAAAAGGGTTTGGGATACAATTGTGGTTGATGTGAAATACTGACCTGCTTTACTGGTTCAAACTTGTTGAGTTGCTTGCTCAAAAGAAACACTTGCTGCAATGATTCTGTATGAACAGAGCCTCTGGACTCGATATTTCTCCTCGTCAGTGTAACTGCTTGGCATAAGAATCTTTTGAATAGAAAATAAGAACAGAATCTCTGCCCCTGGCAATTTTTTTTCTACGTATTTATTTATTGAGAGAATCTGAAGAGTTTGCTTTTGAGCCTTTCTTTGTCTGACATGTGACTTCAGAAATGTGGGAAAAGTAAAGATGTGACAGTCACGTTCCAACCTAGATGTGCTCTGCCCTGTTGTGTCACACACGGAGCCTCATGCTGCTCTCAGGGTGAAGGACGACCATGTGGAGCAGAAGGGATTTTGAGAGGGAAGAAAGAAGCTTCCTGCAACTGCACAAGGACAAAGTGCGTGAGGCAGAAGAAAATGGAAATCTCTCAGGGGGATCTAGGAAAATGGTTAAAAGACTCACTTGTGTTCAGGCATTTTGCTTTTGAATGGGAATGTGTGAAAGCTGAGGAGAGAGCTCTGCAGTGAAGAGGAAGTGGTAGAAGCTCTGGTTAGGGTTGTTTTTAATTCAGCCTTTTGGGACGCCTTTGTGTAAAGACAAGCAGAGTCACCTCACTTAGCTGGCTGTTGAAGCAGTGCGGTTGGTTGACCGCAGATCAGACCTTGGTCTGGAGCTCCTCAGCTTCAGGGGCAAAACCAGCTTGATTTCTGAAGGTTGCTTTTTGCTGACCAGTGTATATGACCAAATTTTTGAGGGGACGGAAATGCTTTTCAAATAGACATTTGTAGAAAGAGTGATTGTTAAAATCTGGAGAAACAGTGGTAGGGTAGAAGCTTTCATGCTTGAGCTTTGAGTGTGCAGCAATAGGTCAGGATTTTTACAGCTTTTCACTGGAGTAAATTTATTACTCCATTCCTAAATCTTATGCTCCTTCTTTTGTGCTTATGATTCTTAGTGCTGGTCTGTATTTGTTGACAAGTTGATGTAGGGTCTATTATAATAGACCCTATAATGCTCTCGGCCTCACTGCCAGGTTGAAAGTTGTGCTCAAGCTCAGTAAAATGACCTATGAGATACATAATAAGGGAAACTGGAAGGTGAAAAGCTTTGTATTTATAAATCTGCTTGCAGAGTCTGACTGTTTTGATTGGCATGTTTCAGTAGGAATGTGGGTGTTTTGTTGCACTGCTTTAAAATATAAATAATAGGAAAACCTAGTGAAAAGCTTGGTAACTTTTAGCACGCTGAGCTAAAGGATTCCAGACAAAATAGTTTAATGCCCTGATTTTTCAGACTGCAAACACAGGAACAGAGGGAAAAACTAATAAAATGGCAGAAGAGACTGGAACCTTGGAACCAGAGGATGCACAGTGATGTGTTTTAACAGCCCCTAGCAAGAACTGGATTGCTCTGATTCACTGAGGAGAGGCCATTATGGAGCAAGAGGTGGAAATAATGGTAAAACCAGCTCCAACCAGTAGGTGTGTGGGATCCTCAAGCTGCCTTTGATTACTAGCCATTACCGTGGCATCAGGAATGGGACAGTGAAGTGTGGTGTTTGTTCCTGAAACTGTCCCCTCTGCGGGACACTCCATCCACATTCAGAACTGCTGCGGGAGCAGAATATGAGAGACCAGCTGCTACGTGGGCTGAGACAAGCTACAGAGGCGATCGGAAAAGCGTAAAGGATAGTCTTGTTAAGGCTGGGGAGAGGTTCTTTAACTTCCTGGAGACATTACCTCTCTTCCCAGCCACAATCCCTTGTGTTGTTGCTTCCAAAATGCCAAATCCTACTGTTCTACTCTGGCCTCACGTCAGCAATACGTACTTCATACTTCCATCCTGCAACCCCTCTGGAGGCAGGTAGCGTTGCAGAGGTCAGTGGCAGGCTTTTGATCTTAGCTGGCTGTGCTTCACTGTTATTTATTTCTTCTCCCCATGTATTCCTTCCCTCCAGTAATCTTCCCCTTTCTGCAAAGGTTGAACAAAGAGGATAAAATTAATGAGTCACAGTGGGAAGAGTTGCTGTCTGCAGATGAAGAGACAAAAGGAATTTTCTGCTGCAGCTTCCAACAGAGGCAAGAGGTTTAGAGGGATCTCGTTTTTCAGTTGGCTTCACTCTCTGGCACAAGAGTCCGAGGCTGTAGGGTACAGTGCGGGTTTTTTCTTCTGTTTTTGGAAGGCGTCAAGTAGCCAAGTTGCCATGGAGTGTGGAGTGCTAGGTACACAAGAGCAATGAATAACTATTTTTATTGGTTTGGGGACGCTTAGGATTATTTGTGAATCCTCGCTGGAAAAGCTTTCTTAGTGAAGCAAGAAGGGATTTGGGAGCAGAAGCATGAAGTAACCTTGCTGTGTTTGTATTACATTAGCAAGAACAATTGAATCTCTCATGCTAAGTGTAAGAGAAATGACATTCCTAAAGAAGGGACCTGGAAAACTCAAGTACTTTTAAATGTTAAATGTCACTTAAATGCAAAGTGGGAACAAATGCTTATTGCAAAACTTAAAAAATTTATGACCAGTACTCAGTGGCAGACAGAAAACTGCTGGAGCGTAAGTTCAAACAGAATATGTACTATGCCAAGAAGAATGATATAATGGTTTGAGTATGTTGAAACTGACAAATTACTCCTGCAAGTACCACCCCTCGCACTCTCATATTCTTGGAGGACTAGGAAACAACACTGTCATTTGCACTACGCACTTTTTGCTGTCTAACTGAATATAATCTACAGTAAGTGGAATGGCATAATTTGCATTGCATGTGTTAGCTGTAATCAGTGGACAGAAGGTTTATCTTCAGCTGGACTTTTCACTGTATTACATTTGGCCCCTTGCTATGTAAGGAGAATTGCACTCATAATTCCTTTGTACCAAAAATGCAATCATCGTCTGAGAGCACATGTAACAAAACCCATGTAGCCACGCACATGTTGTCTTTTCAGAGCTTATTTTAAGATGATAAAATGAGAAAACATGAATTTTATGTATTTTCAAGGGTCTTGCCAGTTGTCCAGTTCTTAATTTTTGAAGTCTTGACCTCAGCACCCCTTCTAGGATAAGTTTAAAATCATTGTCCAACCACAGCCTCTCCAAAAGCACTAAGTGGTGTACTTTTCAAAAGCAGCAATAATTGGATAGTAAAGTCCCTCCACAGAAACTCAGTTTTGGGGGTATTTTGGGTTTGGTTTCTTTTAAGGAGCACTGAATAAAGAGGTTTGCATCTTCAGAGAGAACATTAGATGCCACTTAAGATCACAATAATGAAGAGGAGAGGTACTAGCTAATGTAATAAACTCTGCCTTT